GTAATCACTAACATTGTAATTCTGTTAATGATCTGTCTTTTTAGGTTTTGCCATCACTTCATTCTTTCTGTTTGTATGCTGCTGTCGGAGTTTTTATAATTTATATTTATACAATAACTTTTGTAGTTGCTTGTTTTGCACTAGATCAACAAAGGATTGATAATAATTATAATGGATTTATTCCCTGCATCAAACATGAAAACTATGTTCCAAATTCTTGTAGTCAAACAAAATTTTTAGAAATGTTTTTGTCAAAACTCTATTCTCAAGTAATATTGACGAAATTTGGAAAAGTAAGTTGTGACCAGTGAACTGTTTTGAAATTAGACTGAAGATGAGGCATACCATGGTTTTGAAACGTCTGTAATTATTAAATATATAAGCGAGTGTTAAAAATCTGAGTGTTGTATTGTTCATATTTAACATTTAATATTTGTTCCACTCATATCACAAAATTCTATAATATATATATATATATATATTATATATATATATATATATATATATATATTTATGAACTATGACACTTTTTGAATTTTGTTATTTACATTTTTTTCATTTCTTTTATTTAACATTTGAGAGAATACTACCCAGAAAACCTAAACAATATATAGGGTGTTCCAGAACCGACCGGATAGTTTTAATCGTAACTGTCATAAAAAAAATTATTCCACATAGTTTGAAGATTATGCTTTAAAGCTTTAAAGTGCAGCCAGCTTTAGTCAAATTGTGACCATTTTTTGCTTATTGTGGTTAATTTTATATATTTTATTAATTTAGCTTTGTTTTATTTTGTTCATCTTTGGATCCATAATCGTAAATAACATATCTAAGATCATAGTCTAAAATAATGATACAATTGACCCTAGTTTTCAAAAATTTCGCGCTTTTGATGAAACTCCGGATTGTAAAATGGTGAAGTACTTAATAGTTTCATAATAAAAAAAAACTAGTAATAAAAATAAAAACTCATAAATAAATAAACACTTTAGAACTTTTTTTTAATAAAGGGGTGCCTTCAAAATCGACCAATTTTGAAAATTTTAAATTCATAGTGTAACAGATAGTCTAAATTCTACAATATTTTGGGCATTTATGTATTTTTTCACTGTGTTTCTAGAAATGCTATTTATGATTACAGATCCAAAGTTCATATGAACAAAATTAATAAAAATCAACCACAATAAGAGAAAAGTGGTCACAGTTTGACCAATTTTTTTGATTGCATTTGAAAGCTCATATTACTATCACGCCATTTCAGCTTGACATTGAGTTCTGGAACACCCAATATATATATATATATATATATATATATATATATATATATATACATATCAAGCTTTATTTTTCAGATTATAGTTTTAATATCAACAATAGCATTTGCGGCATTATCTATAAAAAATACATTATTGCTTGAACAAAAGTTTGATCCCATGTGGTTTATACCAGAAGATACACATCTTTTCAAGTATATAGAAAAAAGAAGAGAATATTATCCACAAATAGGTAAGATTAAAACAATATTATACAGTTATGTATATATTCAATTGTATTGAAATGTTATTTTTTATTTATGAAGGTTTTGAAGCTGTTGTTTTTATAGGAAACTTGAATTATAGCACTGAATTTAAAAAAATTATAAAATTAGAAGAAACTTTGCAGCATCAAAATGTTATAAGTAATATAGATTCATGGATTATTCCATTTTGCCAGTATGTCAAAATTAATTTTAATACAGGTATATTCAATATTTATAATAAATGGCAAAATTGTCTTTAATTTTGTTATTAACAACTCTTAGATTTGAATAGTACTGATGTATCAGATGCCACTTGGAATTTGTACTTGTCTAAATATTTGCATAGCCCCTCTGGTGCAAAGCAGATGGGAAAATTCAAATTTTCTGAACCTCTCAAATGTGGCAAACCAGTTTCTAATATTAAGGTATTGAAGCAAATAATCTTTAATGCAATTCATCGCAAATGCAATGATTTTATTTTAATTTATTATTTCAAAGAACTGATTTATTTTTGTTTATCAAGCACAACTTTATTATTATAGATATTATAAGAACAGTTTAAGCATAAACATGTAATACATTTTTCAAACATATCAAATTTATTTATTAAGTGATGAAATTAGTTAATAAATAAAATAAATTATAATTTTGAATTAAAGATAAATATTATATTTCTGTGCTATATTACAGGCATCTAGTATTCATTTTCATTTGAAGAGATTTAATAATACAGTAGATAGTATTAAAAGTATGAATCAACTCCGCAAAATTACTAATGAAGCAAACTTTACAACTGGTGATAAATTTTGCACAGTTTGGGCAAATATGTTTGCCACCTGGTCTACCGATGAGGTGAATTAATTCATATGATTCATATATATTTTTCTTTATCAATATTTCTGTATTATTTTCTAGATTATTGCAATAGAAATTAAGAAAAACTTGTTACTATCCTTGGGCTGTGTGATGCTTTGTGCGTTAGTTTTCATATCTAATTTTAATATTTGCTCCTGGATATTTCTATGTGTTTTACTTACTGTGGTGAGTTATTGAATTTGGAAAACGATATTGATTATTACAACAGTTTAAAGATCAGGCAAGATCAAAAATTGTATGAATGTTTTAAATTTTTTTTGAAATCCATACATTTTGGCTAGCCTCCTAATCTTCATTCAGTGGAATATAACTATAACAATTAATCTAAGTAATATAATATGTAACAATTCAAGAATAATAATAATAAACTAATCTAAAAACACAATTTGGTATCCTTATATTACAATTAATGAAAATACATTCTCTTACCATGGAGCAATAGTGTTTTCATTAATTGTAATATAAGGATACCAAATTGTTAGTGGTTTTAAATTAGTTTATCATTATAATTATCATTATGAAATTGTTATATATTATATTTCTTTGTTTAATTATTATAATTATATGCCACTGAATGAAGACTAGGATGTTAGTCAAAATATATAGGTTTCAAATAAACTTGTAAAACATTTGTACAATTTTTTATTGATGTAACACCAGATCTTAGATATAAAGTTAAATATATAATATATGTATATCTTTTTCAAAGCTTACATGCAGTATTTCTTTTATTTAAAAGTGATTTAATATTGAACAATAAAAAGTAAAAATTACTGAAAGAGTATGAAACCTTTTTTGCAGGTCAACGTTAGTGGATGGATGTATGTTTGGGGTTTAACATTAGACCTTGTCTCATGTATTGCACTTCAATTATCAGTAGGTTTATGCATTGATTATTCAACCCACATTGGGCATGTATTTTTAACAATGGAAGGAAGCACTAGAACCAAAATTTCAATAAACGTTATGAAACATATTGGAGCTGCAGTTATATATGGAGGTGGATCTACCATGTTGGCTTTGAGTACGCTTGCATTCTCAAAAGCTTACACATTTAAAGCATTTTTTAAGGTACATTTTAATAAATAGAACTAATAATAAACAAAAGTTGATATATTTGGTGATGACACGAATATTTTATTTTCAGATATTTTTTTTAATTATAACATTTGGATTGTATCACGGTCTCATATTTTTACCAGTAATATTATCCATATTAGGGCCAATACGAAAAAAGCATAATAAAGATAAAATAAATATAGAAGATGATACTGGTAAAGACACAATGCTTAAAGCGGATGATGAAACTAATGATCAAAGTGAAGCTATGGCATTATGATAAAACTACATTAACTTTCTTATTGATTTCAGCTGGTAGCTCTTTCATTAAGGGGGTATTCTGGTCTAGAGTTAAAATAAAAATCGATTTTGTTTTTTTTCTTTTTGGATACTTTCAAAACTAACTATTCAAGAATATGTGTACAAGAGGAGTTTTCAAAATGTATGATAATCCTTCCAGTTTAGTTAAAATTTTTACAGAGCTTACTTTACAGACTTCTCTGTGGTATATCATCTTCACATTCCTATTTTTAAAAAATTCAAGGATATCAGCAAAAACTTGTGAACTTGTGAAACAAATTTTTAACTTGTCCATAGTTTATACCAATATCAAAATTATTCTGCATTAATAATATATATATATATATATATATATATATATATATATATATATATATATATATATATATATATATATATATATATGTATAGGGCCAATTTTTGAAGACTCCCCACTTCATCACCTTTCTAATATTGATTATGACTATTTTTTAATTTTTTATATACTCTCTAAATATTAATTAATGATGTTTAATAAAAAAAAATCCAAAATATTATTTGCCTTTAGCCCAGAATATTCCCTTAAGGTTTTTATTCTCTTGATTTTTGCTTGTTTTATCAACTTTTTGTATAATTAAGTTTTTTATATAAAATATATAGTAAAAGTCTAAAAAAATCTTTCAATATAAATTTTAGTAAATTTAATATAAACAATGCATATATTATTTATTTATAGTTGTACCGTTATTTTTCTTCTAACAGCAGTAATAGTATTAGACAGCAATGCTGGTCATGCTGTATCTGAATCCAACGTAAATTTACAAGTTTTCTATGTGAATTTTCAAAGTGTTGAATTTCAGAGAAAAACATAATAGATTCTATACTTTCACACATCATATATCCAAGTTATTAAGATATACAGTAAAGTTATTATTAGTACATTTTGAATATATATATATATATATATATATATATATATATATATAAATAAAAAAGTTTAGTTATATATAAAGATTATTTATTTCTCTAAAATACATACTGTAAAAAAATTAAGCTCACGTTTTCTCTTGAAGGTCTTTTTCATAAATTCTACTATCTAATACACAGCATAACACTTCAGTTTAGAGTTAACTATGAATTCTTGAAGATAAGAGATCATGAATGATTCATCATTTTAAATAATATAGAGAATAGCATTAAACTTAACATTAACAAACTGATTTTACAAAATACTGCGCATTATATTTTACTTAACGTTCATCCGTATTTTCATCTTCCTTTAAATGTAATAACTTCACAATAAAACGTTCTTAAATATCAAACGGATATAAAGCCTAATAAATCAATTGTTAACGAGTTCTTTCTCTATTGATGAAATATTTATAGTATTAGATAGTTACATTTATAGAAAAACAATTATTTAACATTTATCCAAAATTATGAATTGAATATGTTTTACGCAGGCCATGTGTCCATTCACTATAAAGTTTATAAATAAATTCTGCGAAGGTCCAGGGGGCTAGTAATCATATTACATTGGGGACATAATTTCTTTGCTCCCAATGTATGCAGCCAGCATTCCTCACAATGAACATGCCAACAGCACACTGAGACTACAGCATTTTTATATGAATCCATACATATTAAGCACTTATATTGTTCACCAGACTCTCGATCTGAAATTTTCACTTCAAGCTCTCGAATTTTAGCTTGCAATGCATCCATTGTAGGATTTTTACTTACAGTAGAAGGAATTTCAGAGGAAAGAGAGCCAGTAATATTTTTATTAACTACTACAACCGCCTCTGTAGGAGGTTTGCCTGCAATGTTTTCCAATAAAGCACCGCGAAGTGCTTGAAGTTCTTTAGCTTCTTGTTGACTGTCTACAGTTGGCACTACCACATCACTTTCAGAATATTGAGGGGGTCCAAAAGTGGAAGAATCATCTCCGTCTACAATAAGATCCTCATCTTCGCTACTTGCGTGACACTTTGATATTGAAGTGCCAACACCAGCACTCTGGTAACCTCCTACGAGTAAGCTAGAAGCTCTTATTCGTTGCTGGCCTGCCCACTCGTACTCTTCAAAACTCTCGCCGTCACCTTCGACATCGATATTTTCATCGTCAGGGGAATCGGAATTCTTCCTAAGACAAAGTTCAACATGGACTGATATGTCATCATTGGTACGCTCATTGCACACAGGACAAAGTGTACCATCGGCCTTTCTTTTTCGAGTATTAGCCTTCAATCGGCTTTGTCTATTGCTTTTAATTTTCTGGAATGTATCCCATGAATTTTCTACCGTGTTAGCACTTGTAGACCCATTTTCATTAGAACTGGATCCTAATGAGGCTTTTCTTGTCCTGCAAGTGCTAAGTTTATTCAATTTTTCCATTTCTAACACATAATGAGATTCCAGCTCAGGAGTTCGCAAGGTAATTCCACAAACGGGACAACAGGAGAAATCGGATAGTTTTCGCCTTGTACGAAAACCACGACCTTCTTCAACAGTAGTAGTGGAAGCCAAATCCATATCACAATATGGACAATATTATACGATTGATGAAATAAACACGGATTTTCCAAATTTTTGCATAGCTAACATTCATGCAAGATGAGTAAAACGTTTGTTTGTTTCGAAATGTTTAACATCGTAGTACTAAAACCACAAGTAGTTAAGATCACAATGTTAACAATATATTTTTAACGTCAACATCTTATATTATCTTATAGCTTTATTATGATGCAAAATTATTATATTATAAATAACATGGGCATTGGAAAATAGTTGTCAACCATTTGGGGTGTACTTCACGTGTATTTATTAAGAAATCGTTCTTTCCGTAGATTAAGGATGATATAGATCGAACACTCAAACACTCGAACTGTATGCGACTAGAACATAGATGACAGGAAAATATGGACCAGAACAAAATGCGCATTGATAATTTATTGATTTATAAAATAGTTGGTATTGGTATTTTACCTTCAGGCAAGTTACATGAACTTCCCGATAAGTGTAAATAATCGACTTAATCGATAAAAAATAAATTAATTTATGAGTGATTAAAAGTATTCCGAGTGGATTTATTACATATCATTGAAAACGAACGAACACGTTAACTCAGATTATTTTCTAAATTCAAATGTTCAAAAATCAACACTTTTTATAATTGAACCACTTTCCGTAGGACTTTAATGGTTTAGTATGTTCATTAAGACCAAGTACTCTATCGTTATACCAAGTAAATCGTCTAGTTTTAATTTTAACAAACGTCAAAAAAACTGCTCATTTTCTCAAACTTTGATGAACTTTTAAAATTAAACCACTTGTAAGGCGGCAATATTTCAGTAAGTTTTATAAGACGATGATATATATCGCCAAAAAAAGTTCCTTAAAAATCGGCTGAAATTGTTTTTTTCAACTGTTAATTACAAGAAAACAGCTCGGTAGATTTTCACCTAAAACTAATCAGTATCATTCCCAATTAATATTATTCGAACAGTTTTTGATTTTTCAAAATCGATTCGGTAGTATGAGCTTAAATGTGGACGAAAAGTTTAACACTTTTTTCCAAATTACAGAGAAACGGCTCGGCCGATCGTCACACAAAACTGAGAAATGATAATTCTCATCAAGATACATCAAATGGCTTTTAAATTTCTGAAATCGGTTCAGGCATTTTTGAGCAAACGTCGATGAAAAGTCTAATGTTGACAAATTCTAAAAAACAATACCAATTTTTGCAAACTTTGACGAATTTTTATAGTTAAACTAGTTGTCGTAGGGCCGTAATATTTTAATATGATCTATAAAACTATGGTATCTGCCACAAAAAAAATCATAAAAATCGTCTAAAAAAAAATTTTTAACACTATTACAAGAAAACGGCCCGGCCGATCTTCACCAAAATCTAATCAGCACGATTCCCAATCAATACCTTTCGAACGGTTTTTGAAATTTCAAAATCGATTCAGAATTGCGGGCTAAAACGTGGACGAAAAAATTTTCACTTTTCTGCTATCTATAAAGAAACAGCTTGGCCGATCATCGCACAAAACTAACAAACAATAGTCCTCATCGAGGTACCTCAAATGGCTTTTAAATTTTTCAAATCGGTCCAGCCCTTTTTGAGAAAACGTCGATTACGGCAAAAAATCTGTTCATACACACACACACACACATACTTTTTCCAAATTTGGTCTCATTCGATTCAGAATGGCTTATAAGAAATATATAAACTGAATTGCAAAGTTGAAAATATTTGTTTAAAGTATATTAGAACTTAAGTCAGAATTACAATTAAAATCTGAATTATTTTTGATATATAAAAAAAAAATTGAAAAAAAAAAATTAAACAAACATTTTTTTCCCAAAAGCAATTATTTTGTTAAAAAAGTTCTTTGAATTATTCAAATCAGACGCTTAGTTTTCTCAAAAAGTGACATTTTTTGCACATTAAGCACTGCATCTCCGAAACCGCTCGACCTGTCTTTGCCAAAAACTAATCACCACTTCTCCCCAACATTACGAATTGAATGTTTTTTGGATCATTCAAATCCGATGCTCCGATCTCTCAAACACTCGATTTCTATTTTCTGCATTCTTTGCTCCGTATCTCCGAAACCGCTGAACATGCCTTCGCCAAAAACTAATCAGCACATCTCCCTATCAATAGGAAGCGAATGTTTTTTTAACCATCCAAATCGGTTGATCCGTGCGCCCGAAAACGTGGACGAAAAATTTTATCCATACATACATACACACACACATCCATTTTGTCTGAGGTATATGCCAAAATGTTCAGAAACCTTCAAAACGTCGAGAAATGGGAAAAATTTCAATTTCGATTTTTGAACGATTACAATAACTTACCCTACGGGAAGTTAAAAATATACCTGACCTTGCTAAAAATTAATCACACTTCTCCCCATAATTACGAACTGAATGTTTTTTGGATCCATACTCTTCTTTTATCTATGTTTGGATCATTCAAATCGGATGCTCCGTTCTATGTAACTACAATATAATACTATATTATTCATGCAAACTGACATACCTTTAAATGTAACTGCAATCTAAGACTCCTGAGGCTACATGATTTCAATCCTTATAAACTCAAATTTAACAAGAACCCCGGTTATCTAATTTTAGCACCATTCACAGTAAAATATCAAAATATGTTAATAAAACATGAAAAATATATACCATAATAGTTATATGAAGACGCCATTGTCAACATGTCACAATTGTCAACTATTAAACTATCAGGGAAACAGCCACATTTGAACAACTTAATGCCGATTAAAAAAAGCAGGGGCGAATTCTGACACAATGATGAAAAAAATACTGATATGATTTAAAATATTTTATTGAAAAAATAAAGAAAATTAAAAAGGATTCAATAGCTTAGATAATCTAAACATAAAACTAGCGGTGCATGGCAACGTGCCTTAAGGCAAATTGCTGGAACTTCCCGTATCATAATTTAAATTTTTTAGAAGTTTTACAATATTTTGAAAACTTTGAAAAAACTTGATTTTTCAGAATTTTAAAATTTTTGAAAATGCTAGATTTTTAAAAAAAAAAATTGATTGGAAAGTCAATGGAATAGCATGTTTTTAAGTCATTAAAATCGGTTGATTTTGAGTTTGCTGAAAATTTGTATCCGCACACACATACAAACATACACGCACGCACACACAAATAAATACACACTCACACACACACGTTCTATAAAAGAGAAAGAGCCAATGGGACTTTGCTCATTTAAAAGATAAGTATAATTTCAGTGAAAGAATAATAACATTCTAGATCCTCCCGCCACAAAGTAATGCTTCGCGGCGGGCCAGTGGCAAGAGGAAAGCGGAGGTTTTTGGTCGGTCCAGACAAAAGACCAGACTGGGGTATGCCAAAATGTTCAGAAGTCTTTGAAACAAAGATATATAAAAGAATATTATTAATTTTTTTGTTGTTGTTACTACAACTTATTCCAAGGAGAGTTAACAATCCTCTAATAACTCGTCTTAACTTCATATTGTAAGATAAACAATAAATTGAACTCGTAATCAAAAAAGAGTGTTAAGCTTTTAAACAACTGTATTTTTCATATATAACAACAAAATATATACAGCAAATCAAACCCAAAAACAATTATAAAACAATATTAATTCTGATCGTTTCAGGCTTTAATATATCTATAAATATATGTAAATTAAATACTCAGGAATGGTAACAAAATTTTTGGAATGACAGATAATAATAACAATAATATATTACTTCACCAAACTTAATAAAACCTTATGTTCACTAAATAATATTTTAATCCCAACTCTCATAAAACTACAGTTCATTATAATAATATCTGTTAACAAATCTATTACCGTATTTAACTGTAACCACAAATTATAACGTAATTAAGTGAATCTAACTTATTCTATAAAACAAATAAAATATAACACTCGACACCCTCCACTTATGAAATCACAAAATTAACAACTGTGTAGAAATAGTTAATACTTAAACTAATATATTTTATAATTAAGTCTTTAGAATTTTTTACTCTTCATCATGGTTTTGCTAAATTTAATCACTATTCTTGATATAAAAAATCACTTCAACATTTATTATCTATGGTATAAAACTTTTACTATGCAGTATCATTATTGTACAATTTTACTATTTACACATTATTTTACAATTCTGGAAGACTTTTATAATTAACTTTGATTCAATGCTAGTGATTACCAATATAACTATCCTTTCAACAACTAAATCATTAAAGCATGCTATCAAAATTTGAGGCAAGTCGATAACATGTAAATATATTACTTGAGTGATACTTAAACAAACATCAAATTTGACTAAAGTATCAATATTAGTTTAATTCTTATTTTAACCCATATTAGCCAGTACTTTTCTATATCTTTGTTAAAGTTGTATGTGACTGCATTTCAAAACTAGATAGTATATTTGATATATTATTCAATATATTACAAATTATACAAGTAAAAACTTCTATGCAAATTATCACAAAAACAATGTATCTTTGCATTTGACACATCATCGGAATATTTTTATTTTTTATTGTGACTCGTGAGTTAAGAAAATAGTTGCAGGTTCTATAGAAAGTAGTTGCAGGTTTTGTAGAAATGTTCAAAATAAATATTGTCAATATGACAAAAAAATTGTTAGTCAATCACCAGTTTTTAATTGCATTTGTCATCTTAAGCAATATTCTAAAACTATTTATTAATAAGCACATTTTACAAATACCTCGCTCATATTAATTGAAATGTTGAAAAAAACATAAAAGTTATGCAATTTAGCAAAAACAAAGAACATCATAATTATATTTCACATTCAATATCAATTTAAAAGTAGATCAAACGGCTTAGAGCATTTTATTGTTAGGAACACTAATAAATTATTTTGATCCAGTTTGCTTAATACTTTAATCACATACTTTTAGATTTAATATTTTTATAAAAGGTCAATGTATCATGCCGATTATTAACAACACGTTCTGCTATTGGTAATGATCATTATTATAATTTTGTCTAAATTAGTCAAACATCAAAAATTTGTCTAAATTAGTTCATTGAAAACAAACTAATGGTTTAAATATAATAGATATAGTAAATAAATTCATATACATCAGCTATAGATATTGGTTATACTTTTTGACTTCATGATTAAAATTTACAACATTGCACTTAGTTACTTATTTTCTTTATTGCACATTCAGTATTTAATAAATTGACCTTTCGAATAAAAAATATCCGTTAAGCAAGATTTATGAAGATTAATAATACATCAGTTTATTAAAGCACTTAAATATTGAGTAATTTATTTCTAGTAATTCTTCTAATAACAGTAAAAAGGTTTTGACAAAAAATATTTTTTCTATGAAAATGCACTATACGTATTTTTCGATTTTGAAATAATATTGTGGAGCAAAGCTGAATGTAATCTGAAATATATAGTTTCTATTATTACTATTATCATAACACAAACCTTTTTTGAACTACAAACTAAAATATTTTATAGATAACATTTTATAAATTAAGATTTCAAATATAAGAAATCTATGACCAATGTATTAAATGTTATGAAACCTCTCATGCAATTTGCATTTGATAATATTTAGGCCTACAATAATAAGGCATTTTTATAATACTTAGATGATATAATGACAATATAATTTCAAGATGATTGTCGTCATCAACATAAACAAATATATATATATATACATATATATATATATATATATATATATATATATATATATATATATATATATATAGTGTGTGTGTGAGGGACTAGAATGCTGTTGATATGCCACAAGAGACATTCAGTAACCTGGGCTGTAAGAATATAGTATACTATTAGGTACAAAAAAAAATGTTTGAACTATTTTGAATTAGTTCTGGTCAAAAAATTAACAGAAATATAGCACAGAAGCCCACATTAAAAATTCTACAGGTGCTATTGTCCGATCACATCAAGGAGATTTATATTCCATATATATTTATACTTGGTGATTTTGAGTACAGAAATTATTGTACAATAATTATTGTAATGAAGAAGTAGCAATGACCAAAACTTTTCATAAAACATCAATTAAATGAATAAAAAGATAAAACACAATATCATCAAATATTCTTAATAATATGGTGTCATATGCATACTTAATAATGAAAACTTTATTCAAGTATTATAAATTTCTTCCAAACTCTCCTCCAAAATCGTACTAAAACACAAACTGCATTCTAATCCAACATACAATCACATATATATATACATATTGTTTTTGCTAATATTATAATAAACGAGTAACATTAACTTTTCAATCTATTATAATATACAATTATGACTAAAATTACATTATGTATTGATAGTGAAATTTAACAAGAAAATATCAAAGTTTAAAATTTGTCAACAATTTGATATTTTGTTATTCAAACTTTCATCAAAATTTGTAGAAAGCTATTTTCCTAGTGAACATACCTGTAATGCTGATATTTTAAACAGCTATTTTAAATACAAATAACTTGTTGCTGTAAATGATATATGCAAAATTTTTCTTGTAAATTGATATACATCAATTGAGGTTGTTATGAAAACAAATCACATTTTATATTTAAATTTGCATAATACAATAAAGAAACATTCAGCCTCACTTATTGCATACAGGATTCTAAAAAGTAATTATCATATATTCAATATTCAACAAGGTTTTGAATGCAATTTCTTATTAATAATATTATGATTGGTACCATAATATTCCATGCAAAAATTCCAGTTATTCAAAACAGGTGATGTTTACAATAACGTGAAGAAAAATTTAACTTAAATTTTTATTATTAATAAATGTTCTAATATTGAGCACTAGGATGTGAGCACTGATACACAGCTTTTAGTAATTATTCTAACATAATCGAATAATTCATATAAAAAACATTTAACACTTAAGATTTAGTTGTAATATATATATATATATATATATATATATATATATATATACATACATATATTGTTTAAATTTTATTTGCAATATATTTATTAAATATTGCATATACATATATTTCAGTGCAGCAAATGTTAAGGCACTTATGAAAAGACACTATTCAAAATCTGGTTTATAATTGGCAGTTATTGACAGCCATTTGATTATTACAAAATACATATAAAACTAAAGTGTTTGTTCAATGAATTATTAAATTGAACTCTTCATACAAATGTGATGTAAAATTGCAAACATCAATCTTGATAAATTGTACAATCAATTTTGCACAACTCAATTGCTTTTGTACTACTGATAATTTTCGCCTATTACCAGTAAAAGAAACAATCAAAAAGTTGAATCAGTTTCTAAAGAAGGTTCTTGTTTGAAATTCATTTTATATGCTACATCATCCAAATTGTGCAAATGATTATTATTTGATTGTAATTCCTGCATACTGCCACTTCGGACACTTGGTATATCGCAAATTATTTGAGCAGGATGAATTGGGGCCAGATCTGGGCTGGATATCTGATGATCTGATACTGTTGGGCTATGGCTGCCCGATGGACTGCCTGGAGAATTAGTGCTGGGACTTTGGTAGTCGTTTACCATAGGAACTGGCGATACATTTGATGTGTTTGAATCAGGAGTAGCTCCTTGAACAAATTAAAATAAGCCTTTCAATTTCCTCAACATATAAATTTGTTAGCATGATAAAAAAAACAAACTAAATAGCAGTGTCGTCCAAATGGAGCTCATGACGAGTATATTCGTCAATCAAAGAGTGAACAGCGCTGGCAAAGAATTGAATGAAGAAGTTGGGTTTGGTTCACAAAGTAGAAAGATGTTTTTACTATATTTCATTTATTTGTTACCATTAGCATTTATAACATAAATATTAAACTAAAAACGAGTTAAACTTAATATAATATCATACATGCAAATGTAGTTACTTACATATATATACTTACATATATATTATAGTTTATTTGATGAAAAGCAAAACTATTTTAAATAATCAGTAAAATGTTATTTAAATAGCTGAATCTTAATTCTTAATTGATTAGAATATATTATTTCAACATGTTGGAAAGATCATGCAACTTGCTTCAAGTTAAAAAGCCACTAGCAACTATTTATTTTATAATTTATATTATTTATTATATTTATATTTATACAGTCATAGCCACAAAAATAGCAAATGGTCACACCGTTTTATACGCATGATGAATATACTGGCCAATATATGCCAATATATAAAATTCTGCCACTTCTACATGACAAGTTTGTTCATCAATCACAGTTCATCAGAACATATTCTCAAATTTCAGCATATTTGGAATATTTTGAGACTATGCCGGTATCAAATAGTAGTTGTAAATAGCTTAAAAATCGACTTGATAGTTAGGAATTGAGATTTAGCTATTCAGAAGAAAAATTTTAACCGTTCATTTCAAAACTTGTCGATGATATTTTCAAATGGACTCATAATATCTATAATAATATTAATTTAATTTAATTTATTTAATACATTTCATTCTAAAAATGTATTTTATATTATGTAAGAGTGCACGTCAACAGTGATCAGTACAAACACAGAAGTAGATATATATGTTTGTGCGATGCATGTTCTAAGAAAGCGTAATATATGTTTAAATTAATCAAGAAAGTAAAATTTTGTAATAAAATTTTCAATTTTGTAAAATAAACCCATCTTTTCATCCGATATTTTACCAGCGCAACATACTGTGTTGTTGACAAATATACTCGTCATGACTAGATACTTACGACACAAAACAGTGCGCCCTATGTAATGGGCGCACCACAGTTAACTGGTGCGCCCAGTACTTGAAACCAACATAAATTTCCATAATTTAATTCTTTTCTTGAATCACCCAAGTTCTTAACTTAAGTATTCATAATTAAACTAAATATAAAAAATCTAATAAGCCATGCAAAGATACTCACCACCAAGTAACATTTCTTGCAATAAGCTGTCTATGTGGGCAACTCCAAAAAGTTTGGCAAATGAATTTGTTCAATCATCTGCCATGTGATTGACTGAAGTGCTGGTAGCGTTAACAATATTTCACCAAATCGTCCTCTAGAATCGTACTGTCGATCACTAATATAGTCCTCTAGGTTAATTTGAATTTGGTATCTAAGAGCTTTTATGCGATTGGGTTCGCTAAGTCCTTTTGCATCTGTAACATAAAAAAATGTAACAAAAAATCTATTGAATTATCTCCCTAGTTTATATTCTTTTCAACTTTCCGTAGGGTACGTTATTGTAATCGTCCAAAAATCGAAATTGAATTTTTTTGCATATATTCGCGTTTTGAAGGTTTCTGAACATTTTGGCATACCTTAGAAAAAATAAATATGTGTGTGCAGTGGCGGCGCTAGACCATTCGTGGGCGTCGGCGAAATTCGTTTGCGAGGGCCCTTCTTTTTTTGCCAGTTGCAAGTTGACTAGTGGTACATGGCATCGTGCCTAAAGGCAAATTGCTGAAACTTGTCGTGCCGTAATTTAAATTTTTGAAAAGCTTTAAAAAAATTTGAAAAGTGAAAGAAATTGACTTTTTTTAATTTGAAATATTTTGTTGAAAATTTCGAACTTTTTTCAAAGCAATCACGTTGCGTTAGCTGCTTAGAGACGAAATATCGAAGCGCGTAAACACCGCGTTGCAGTCTAACTTAACTCACTATTAATTAAAATCTTTATAAAATATCTGATAATTTGATGTGCATATGCCAAATGGCATTTGTTGTGCTTTATTTACTGGACTTCCAAAACCGCTAGACCTGCCTTCCTAAAAATGTAATTAGTTTAGCACTTTTTGCCCCGTATCTTCAAAACGGCTTCTCCTGCCTTTGCCAAAAACTAATCAGCACGTCTTCTTACCTTCAATACATGTCAAATGTTTTCTGAATTTTTCAAATTGGTTGATCCATTTTCGCGAAATCGTCGACAAAAATTTGCCAAAAGTTCAGAAATCTTTGAAGATATATAAAAATTTCTGTTTTAGATTTTTTGCGATTACTATAACTGTATATGAGATTTATTTTTAGTCAGATAAATACACCAATTGAAATAGACAAAAATTACACAAGTTAAAATAAACAAACTCTTCGGCAAAAATGGTTCTCCAGCTATTAGAAAAGCACTGAAATTAAATAATTATCGCGAAAAAGTTTCCTTTTGCCCAACCATTTGAGTAGCAAATTTTATGTTTTTTCGATCATTATGAATAAAAAATGGTTGGAAATCACCGACTTAATACTAATTAGACAAATTTTGCAATCTGCAAGTGATTAATTAGATTTAAAAAAATCTATGTTCATACTAATTTGAGTACATCACATAGTAGGTACACATGGTCT